CACCATAACTATTCAGAAGCTTACAGTTTCAACATTAAAGACGGCTGCCATGTCGCCCTCAGCTGTTCTAAACAGCAATGGCCAACATTTCCTTGGGCTTCCACGATGTCCTTGGCCACTCAGAAGGCATAGGCACTGTCAGGAAAACCTTTCACTCAACCTGACCAGCGCTATCAGCACCGTGAACACGGTATCCCGTCTCTCAAAAGAATCTCCTCCACCCAGAGTCACTCAAAGTCTTCCTTCACCCCAGAACCATACCAGAGAGGCTCAAAAGTTCAAAACTTAGGGCTGCGTCTCAGCTGGTAAAGTGTTCGAGTGCTTGCCTAGCACACACTAAGCTCTGAGTTTCATCTCCAATTTTCTGTGAAGAAAATGTTGTGATCCAACCCTGCAATCTCACAATGCAGGAAGTGGCAATAGGAGAATCATGTCTCAGGTCATCGACAGCTACACAAGAATCTGAAACCAGTCTGGGATGCAGGAGACTGGTCTCAATAAAATAAAGTAAAATTTAAAAAACTAAACTAAAATAAAAATATTCAAAGCTTGCCCCCTCATTTACCTAGCTTGTGACTTTGGCCAGTTTCTTTAGCTAAGGCCTCAGTGTCCTTGCCTGTAAATGTTGATAACAACAGTAATCACTATTATCAGGGCAGTCACAGACTGGTACAGGACACCTGAGGCTCTCAAGCCCGCGTCTGCTATGTGGAGGCACAGGAGAAGCCTTGGCCTCTGTGAGCCTCTAGAGTCAAATTTGGACTCTAGCATGCATTCCCAGTGTCATGTGGTTTACAAGCCCGGCCCGCTCTTGTTCTGTGCTTTACTTACTAACATGCTTTGGGTCTCCTGCCTGTCCCATGTCTATATCTTTCATCACCACGAGAAAGTAAACAGTGTAAGTTAACAGAGATCACAGCTCAGTGCTCTGGGCCCCAAAACTCACGTCACCAATCAGAGAAGGTTATGGGTGTTGTAGACTCACCTCACCTTTGCGGTGTTGCATAGCCCAGAAAACAGACGCTGAGGTCGGCTGCTGTCTATCTATCAAAAGCAAGGCATACATTGAAATAATTTATTTTGCTTAAGAGGCCATTTTGAGTCAAATTTACCAGAATGAACAATTTTTAATTCCTAACCCACTCTTTTAATCTTATGGCTTTAGTTGACATTTATTTTGTTCTACTTTGAAGAAGATGCTGCAATAGGGTTAGGTTTTCTTATTGAATAACATTTTCATCAAGCAAAATTCTGCTATCCCACCCCCCCCACACACACACACACATGCACACATGGTCTTTTTCTCATTGTTTGCTTAGACTGGTATCAGAACACCATATACGAATGAATGAAAACAAATAGAAACTGGAAGTGACCGAACTACTCCAGGAAGATCAAAAGACTAAGTACATCCTGGGCAAGCTGCACCTCACACTGTGAAACACAGTGAAGCCACTTGCAGCAGGTGAGCTTGAGGACCCATAATTATTATTAAAACGTTATAACAGTGGCCACTAACAGACAAGCTTCTTGGTCAGTTTGAGAAAATATCCAAGGAGATTTTCTAAGTTTTCAGAGAGAAGAAAGGTCCTTTTTCTTTCTTTTTAAATGTTCTTTTGAGATATTTCTAAAGCCTATCCCTTACTGTAGCCATGTGCAGCCCCAAGCATCAAACAATATAATTCAAAAGCCAAGTAAAATTGACTTAGTATTGCCATAAAATGGAATTAATAACTTAAAGCCAATATTTCAAGTTTCACCTTGAAGACTCTATGTGTTTTTCTCCCAAGGCAATGCATAGTTTAAAAATCCTAAAATAATCCCCACTCACATAGTCAAGATACAGCTTTACCTTTCTAACTGGTAAATGGGGGTGGAAAGGTTTAAGCCATTGAAGGTTGAATGTACTATATAAAAAATAATTCAGGAGACTCAGCCAGTCCCCCTATTCAGTTGAGCTGATAAGGCTGTGGTTGATTTAAATTTCTTCCCCCAAGCAGCAATGTTCCTATTTCTTTTTTCATTCATTCATTTTTTTTTTTTAGGAGTTCTTGGTTTCCTTCCTTTTGTTCATTCTGGTATCTCCCCTTTCTGAATTTTACACACAAACACACACACACACACACACAGAGAGAGAGAGAGAGAGAGAGAGAGAGAAAGAGAGAGAGAGACTCAGATCTTACCCAGCTTTTCAGCTTCTACACATTTTTCTGAAGATGACTGGGCATCTTCAGATGGAGATGTTCAATCTTTACCTCTGCTGAGGATACACGCCCAAACACAGGAGTGGGAGACTTGCAAAGCAGAGAGAAGTTAGGCAGCTGACCAATCTACTTATAAGAATGTTACAATCTGGCCAAGAAAACATTTAAGAAAAATCACAGTATTTGTTTAAAGGTTGGTTATCCCTGAGTCTTTTAAATTGTGTTTTTTATTATCTGCCTCTTACCCTGTGTGCTAAGCAACACTGTAAGTGTATTGAAAACAGTAAGTACACTGAGACCCTTCCTGTGGCACTTTGGATGCACAGTGATCAGGGAGCAGTCTTATTTAAGAAGGATGAGGAGGTGTGGCCTTGTTGGGGGAAGTGTGTCATTTTGGATGGGCTTTTGAGGTTTCAAAAGCCTACACCAGGCCCAGTTTTCTCTCTTTATTCCTGCTGCTTGTGGATCAGGACATAGAACTCTCAGCCCCTCCGCCAGCACCATGTCTGCGTGGGCACTGCCATGCTTTTTCCATCATGGCAACAAAGGACTAAACCTCCAAAACTATAAGCCTAAGCCAGCTCCAATTAAGTATTTTCCTTTATAAGAGTTGCTGTGGTTATGGTGTCTCTTTACAGCAACAGTGAATGAGACATACCCATGGTGAAGGCTGCAAACAGCTGCCAAGATGTCGGAGATGATATGGGATTTGAATGCAAGTTTTAATCTGCTTTGACTGCATTTGCCCCTTCCTCTCCATGCTTGATACAGCCTCCAATTTCTTGTTGCCAAACTTTATCATTATTTGCCAAATAACAGGAGTATGACCTATTCTTTCATAATTTTTATAGTAAAAATACTGTCCAGTTCTCCTCTGTGACTTTTATGACAGAATTTGGGTTTGTTTCTTCTATTTTGTATTTGTTTCACTAAATAGGAATGAGGCACAGATCCCTCCCACACCCCAATCCTAGTCTCTAGACTGTGGAGCACACCCTTTGTTTCTTTTTCAGAAATAAAAAAAGGGATCTATACCAACTTCAAACTAATAATTTCTTTTGCAAAAACAAAACACATTTTAGAAAATAAAACACTGACATGGAACAAGAATTTATGACGTGGTCCAGCTCTGCCACTCCTAGGAAAATGCTTGAAGGACTCCTAAGTCAGCATAGCAAAGAGATAGTTGCACAGTGTGTTTTGTTGTGCTAGCCATGATTGTTGAGATATGGTGTCAGTGTAGATGAGGTTAAGAATCTGTGCGTTTTATTACAATACCCACACAGCACATCATATCTGCTACTCAGGTTCATATTCACCTTCTCAGTTTTCTTCCTTCTCTTTGGTTCATTTCAAAGCCCACACCCACACACAGGCCTTGGGCAGTGCACTTGGGCTCATATAGTGTAGATCATGCTTTACAGCTGATAATTAACTAGGAAACAGTCTCTGCCTTGTTTCAAAAATAGCAAGGAACAGACAGCAAGGGTCTCATACACAGCAGCTCTCAAGCCACTGTGGATAACTATGCTCTCCCATGTTTCTTCCTGACCCAAGAGTGTCCACTCTGCAGTGAGTCCAGTAAACACTGGGCATAGTGTGGTCAAGCAGGACCCACAAAGTCACCCTGCACACACCACACACAAGCCACACGAAGCTGAAAGATTGAGAATAGAAAAATTATTTCACATCCCACCAAGCACAGCTCTTCATTTTCTGTTGCCAATTGCTGTTGCCTTTTCCCCCACCTCCCACCCCCCCACATACTCTGGGAAATGTTCTCTCTCCAGTGAAAATTCAACAGTGAATCATGGAGACCCCACAAGGAGAGAACTGTGCTCTGTGGCAGAGGACACCTGTGAAGAAGGCCACCAGGGCTGTTCTCCTGCAGAGTGGGTCTGCTAGGCACACAGCCATACCCTCCACTAGGCTAGCCATGACCCAGGTTACTGTAAAGCTAATGATTTGCTTTAATCCAACCCAAATAAGAGTAAGCAATGTTTTAAAACTTTTAATGAAAAATGTATTCCTACCTTTGACCTGGGCTATTTTTCTTCAAATATTTAAAAATCAAACACACGGTGAGCCTATGGTTTTACTTCAAACCAGAAAACCACCCTCACTGTATTTGATCATCAACCCCCTCAGTTTAATTTTTCAGGCTGGCTTATCATGCATCATACACTGGACTTCTACCAGATGTGATGGTGAAATGCAAGAATTCAGTATTTATTTGTTAACTAGAAAATGCATGAAGTCCCAGCTTTGTGGGTCAATGACTTCTGTATCCATTTTTAAGAAACGATGCAGGAGAAGAGTTAAGGGCGAGGTTTTAGTATGGCTTAACGAAACACATTGCCCACAGCTGTGGAGAAGCAGCCATTACTAAAAGTAACTCTTTATACTCCAACTCAGTGACATCATCACTGCAGTTTAAACAGAACCCACATGTGGAAAGCAGTTGCTTCCAGATTAAAATCACCCTCTGCCTGATTTTCAAGGTGAGGCAGGAAAGTGGCAGTTGTGTAACTTCACGTGTGTGCGTCTTTGATGCCACTGTCTAAGATACTCTGTTATAAGGCTTTGCCTCTGTGCTCTCATGAAATGGGCACTCAGACCTGCATTGATTTGCTCAGTTTTTTCATTTCAGAACATGCATCTGCACACCATAAGTCCACAGCTCTTGATCAAGTAGGATTTGCTTGGGCTGAACCATGTCTCAAGGTATTAATAGGAAGAAACTTTTCCCAGGGTCCAAAGTACCAGTCTCAATTCCTTCGTTTTTCTGAGGCAAGAGTTCTTGCTCCGTGACGGCATTTTCACTGGGTACGGCAGTGAAATATAGTTCCTCCTATAGTTCCAGTGGCCAGGAGGCTAAGACAGGAACTGAGACCTTAGGGTCACTGGGTAGTGAGACTCTGTATCGAAGGAAGAAAAAGGTTTTCTGCTTGAAAATGTGAGATTAAGAGGCGCCTGGTCCTTCTCTCCCCAGTCGCTGTCCTCGATGAGTCTCTGCAGACGGGGGACTCTCACTGGTAAGCAGGCTGCTGGAGTTGAAAGCAAGGGCGGGACGCCTGCTGTTTTCTCTCTGGTATCGATTTGTCTCGCGATAAGCTGAAAGTTACCTGAGTACATCCTCTGTAGGACAAAATTAACTTTCTGGGTTTTTTTTTTTTTCCTCAGGATAAACCCCAAGCTGCTTTTCAACTAATTAGGACGACATTGCATTTGCCTTCTTCAAACTCAAAGGTAGAGGTTTGTTTGGATGTGAGGATATGGTTAAGGGAAAGATGGGGTCTGGGCAAGAGCACTCAAAGATTGGCCCACCTTGATTCTCACCAATGCTCCCGTGCTCACCAAGACATCCACTAAAGACTGGCAGGGCTCTGTGCGCCAGCTGTGCTGCTCAGGCACTGTATAAAGTTCCGCCAGTTAAAGGAGCAGGCTTCATTCTGGATATGAAGTTACAGTAGAAGACAGGACCAAATGCCACTCCCTTTATTAGATTTCAGTAGAGGACACAGGAAACAAACGAACAAAATATAGATCCACACATTTCTATGTGTGCTGTGGCTTCAGTTAATTCTAATAGAGCAAGGAAAAGTAAGTAGAAAAAGAGCTAGAGGTTGCCTTGGCCCGAGTGGAGGGAGTGAGGGTGAGAGTTTCTGGAAGGTGAACTTTGATCAGGAATCCTAATGAGGAAAGAATGAGGCTAATGTGAGACTGTGTAGAAATAACAGCCATAGAAACTTTCCCTGGGTAGAAATGACCTTGGCGTATCCTAGAAAAGAAAGGAAAGGAAACCAAAGGAGGTTTTGCCACAGGAAGGTTGGAGAGAAAGCCAGGTCCCAGGGGAACCTGATAGATCATCACCAAGCCTGTGGAATTTGTTCCGAGTGTGAGAAAACCACGGAAGGACCTTGAGCAGGCATGCGGAGGGAGGGATCTGTGTTGGGAAGAAGATGCGGGCTGCCCTGTAAACGTTACAGGGATTTCAAGAGGCTTCTCCATTGGCTCAGGTGAAAGAGACTGGCTGGGATTGGGTGGTGAAGGACAGAGGGGCTGAAACTGGCTGCAATCAGCACACATTTTGAAAGCAGAGCTGAGGGGACTCCCCCACTCCCTGTGAGAGGGGCACAGCAAGCTGTGAAGGAATGGGAAGCATGTGCATAAGAGTTACAGTATCCCCTTGATCTCCTTTAATCGACTCATTGCTCTAGCAAGGACTTCAAGAACTATGTTGAAGAGGTGTGGAGAGAGTGGGCAGCCTTGCCTTGTCCCTAATTTCAGTGGGAGTTTTTTAAGTTTCTCTCCATTTAGTTTGATGTTGGCTATAGGCTTGCTGTATATTGCCTTTACAATGTTCAGGTATGTGCCTTGTATCCCTGATCTCTCCAAGACTTTAAACATGAATGGATTTGTCAATTGCTTTTTCGGCATCTAAGGAAATGATCATGTGTTTTTTTCTCCTTCAGTTTGCTTATATGGTGATCACATTGATGGATTTTCTACCCCTACATGCCTGGATGAAGATACTCCAACCAAGTACCAGGCATGGAGATAACCTAGGACCCCTGCACAGATGTAGCCCATGGCAGTTCAATGTCCAAGTGGGGCCCCTAGTAATGGGAGCTGGGACTGTCTCTGACATGAACTGATTGGCCTGCTCTTTGATCACCTCCCCATGAGTGGGGAGCAACCTTGCCAGGCCACAGAGGAAGACAATGCAGCCAGTCCTGATGAGACCCAATAGACTAGGATCAAAAGAAGGAGAGGAAGACCTCCCCTATCAGTGGACTTGGGGAAGGGCAAGGGTGGGGAAGAGGGAGGGTGGGATTGGGAGGGGAGGAGGGATGGAGGTACGGGGGGTATACAAAGTGAATAAACTGTAATTAATAAAAATAAATATTTTTTTTTTAAAAAAGGGAGTTACAGTAAAGGAGGGCTAGAATTTCTACAAGCTCTTGAGGCTGGTTGTTCAGGTGTTCACAGGCCCGACTTCCAGGGCACAGGTAACACATCACATCTCTCAAAGAAGCCAGTAACCATGTCATCTTTACAAACCCTTCAAAGGCTCAAGGAGGCGGGAGCAGAAAGAATGTAAATCCAGAGGATGGGAAGCATGCTGCCTTCAGAACACGGGTCATAACAGATGGGGTTACCTGTACTAGACCTGAACCAGATTACACAAGTCAACACTTCACAATGGATGGCAAAAGGACTCATGATCTCCCCCTTCCCTGGGTTATTGGCTGTTACATGGCTGCTGTGGGAAGGCGACTGTGATTTTATTCAGTAGTGCAGCCACCAGCAAGTCACTCACGCTCTATTAAATAGCCTCCCACACCACTCACTGGAGCAAGTCGACTTAAAGCAAGTCCCTCTTCCTCTCCCCCTCCTGCACACTCAATACACAAGCAAGGAAGCCTGAAAGTAGGAGGGAGACCTGTTAGAAAGAAGGGTTTCACTAGAAGAGAGAGGATGAAACAAATAATGAGATGTGAAATAAATGACTAAAATTCAATATATAGATGTATAAAACTGTTTACAAATAAAAATCTATAAATAGAAGTGGAACAAGAGCCACACAAAAACACAAGTCAGCACACATACAAACACAAACACACATACCACAAACAGACACACAGACATACACACCACACACAAACATACACACACACACATAGACATACACACCACACACACACACACATACACACATACCACAGACACACACAGACATATACCACACACACACACACATACATACACACACATACACAGACATACACACCACACACACACATACACACATACCACAAAGACACACACAGATATACACACCACACACACACACACATACATACACACACACACATACACAGACATACACACCAAACACACACACATACACACATACCACAAACAGATACACACAGACATACACACCACACACACACACATACATACATACACACACACACATACACAGATATACACACCACACACACACATACATACATACCACAAACAGACACACACACACATACATACATACATACATACATACATACATACATACACACACACACCAGAGAGTGTTGTAGAAACACAGACTGGAATTTCCTGATGTACATATTTACTTTTAAAATAAGCATTTCTGTTTTCCATCTACACAGTAGACTCATGGATGGAGTGGCTTTGCTGAGATACCTAACACTTTGGTCTTCACTGATTGTACAAATTAGTTTGTACCACAGCCATTTTCTTAGAGTTGTTTACCATGTAAGTATATGACAGAGGATTCTCCTTGTTCACATAAACATTTTGGAAAGTAATCCTCCACAGTGACTAGAGTTAAGATAGAATGGCTGACTGGTGATATAAAGTGAATAAATACACTAATTAATTAAAAAAGATTGAATGGCTACCTGTTTTTTTTTTTCTTTCTTTCTTTCTTTTCTTCTTAGCATTTATCTACGTTCTTTGACGGATCTGGGTGTGAAGAGAGAAGAGTTTCTCACAGTTGAGAGTCACTCATAGAAAGAAACCATAAAAGGAGATGCCATGCCTCAAATTTTCCAAGTGCCTGAACCCTATCTTCAGAATTTTTAGGGCAGATGGGAGGAGTCAAATGGTGTTTTTGTTTGAGCCATTCCTCCAGCTGATGCTGAAAGCACCTTGATGCCCACTGGAAGAGCTACCATCTGTGAAGACCTTCAGCTTCATCCTGTGCTCTCTGTGCCCTATGGGCTGTAAAGGTTGGAACGCTATTTGGTGCAAGCTATGATGAAAATGAAAGCCGTCTCAAACAGACACTGCACCAAACCTTTTATTTTTTTGAACATTGGAGTTTTCAGGAGTTGAAGACCCTTAATCTTGGCTTTAGACAAACAAAATGTGTCTTACAACCGTAGTGACAAAATAAGGATTGCTTTAGGATATTTGAAGCAAATTTAACCTTCATTTGAATGCTTTTATTAAACGCTGTTTTCTTAAATGCCTCTGGAAAAACATTTAACAAGTGCCTTTGTAGCCACAATCAGGGTGTTTGAGTGTGTACAACTTGGCTGTCACCATTCTCCTCTTAGGTGAAAAGAGTATAATTACTAACAAGATAGGACTTTCTGTGCCCAGTCTATCTCTCAAATAATGACATGGAGACTTGTATATTTATCGTTAGCTTGGGCAGCATAGCGGGGTAGATGCTCCAGTTATTCTAACCTGGCAATACTGGCCCGGCCTATGTCCTGCTATGTGGCTTACCTTTTATTCTTAGTCAGTTAGTCCTTGCTTGTCTGGCTGGCAACTACCTCATTTGAGATTCTTCCCTCTCTCTGCCGGAAGTTCTTCCTCCCCGTCTTGCCTCAGCTGTTGTCCATTCAGCTCTTTACTTAACTTAACCAGAAGATGATGGAGAACAATTTACAAAATACTAACACAGGTGATGATTCATAAGAATTACAGTACCAAGTCCTGCCTGCAATCAGCTCTCTGCTGGGACGGAAGTCAGCATTTGAGTAATGCAAAGATAACCTTCACACAGTGCCCAATAATACTGTCCCAACAGAGAATCCCACCACCACCTTGATGCCGTGCGCTGGCATTATGGTGAGTGCTCCAGACCTGCAGGGTAGACCCACAACTTTCCAGCAGTCCCTTCCTAAGCATCGTTCTCCGTGCCTAACCGCAGACTTCAGGGAACACTCGGCTCCTGCCAATGCCCTTGAAATCTTTGGGGATTGGTCCATTGGTATTTGATGTAATTAATTATTCACTTCTCCTTTAATTTCCCACAGTATACCTTTGTCACTACAAATAAGTGTCTCTTTTAAATTCAAATTGTGAAGGGATCCCCTGACTTTCAAAAACATGCCCATGAAGCCTTGAGGAGTGTGGTAGTAGTAGATCATATTTTTAGCAGAGTAGAGTACTGAATTTAATCCTAAGGCTAAAACTATCCAAACCACATAACTTATATGCTTCACTTTTAATAACATATTTTTTAAACATCTGGGAAATTCAATACACTTTCATATGAAGCCCTTTGGCACATAGATTCGATTAATAGATAAGGGCACATAATATTAGACAATAAAAATGAATTTACAACTTTTAACCCAGTGTGGGTGTGTCTCTAGCACTTTCTCTTATAGCATTAGAACATGTATATCTGTTTGCATTAGAATTCTAGAAGGCTCAGTGTCATAGGGGCTAAATTATGTATTGTAGAAATCATTAGAGTAAAACAAAAAAAGTTAACCTTACAATTTGAATCAGTTAGCTGATTCCCTTTCTAATGGTGCTGGTTATTGGCTGCTGGTTTGGGTGTTTTATGGTACTCGTGCATTAGCATGTGCTGTACCAACCCAGCTCTACTTCCAGCCCTGGGCTTGAACAACGATAAACTCCTAGTATTATTTAATTATCAATTAGAGAGCCTCCTAATTAAGAGAAGCCTCATAGGTGTTTCTGGGGCAATAGTTTGAAGGACAACCTCAGACAAAATCTGGTTGGGAAACTGAGCCCATTGGGGACTCTTGTTTGTTTTAAAATCTCTCTTTATGCTGCACAGAAATCAGAAAATACAAAGATTAGCACTGTTCCCTGAACCACAGGAGAAGAAATGCTGTTACCACATGCAAAAACTCTCACAGCTGGAGTGTAACTCTAGCATTATTGTATAGTCTCTCTGGGCTTCTTGGGTCATCACGTGGGTACCATTTAGTTTCCTAACTAAGTGTAGCCCACGACAAAATTGTAAAGAAGGAAAGCATCCTTCTCTTCTAGCATTGTTTCCTAATTCTAATAATGTACTGCCTAGGTTCCTAGCAAGTTTCATTTGATGAGCAGGGATGATTAAAATTCCCTGACATGTCGCCGCACTTTTAGAGCTGTGGTGGGCTTATACAGCAGAAGAAACCTTTTGAAAGCTAGCACTGTCCTCAAGTAGACCTCAAGCCTCATTCTGATACTGAGCCAAGGGCATCAACCTTCCACCTTCACAGGCCAGCCTCTAAAGTGATACGCCATGCATCTGCACCAGCCATCTTCCCCGACGTTAATCAATGTCAGGAGGGTGGGAGGGGAGGAGGGACTGCAGTCCTGTTGCCCCACTCCACTCCACTGCTTCCAGGCTGCCGACTTGAAGGCTCTTCTCTGCAGCACCCAGGGAGACTTTGGAAACCCATCTCTTCCAACTCCACAGTGAGGGGTGTGGTCTGAGTGTCTCATGCCATGGTATTCCTAGGCAGATACCCAGTGAGGAGGCTGTAGGAAAGAAACGGTTTCGTACACACCAGACACTAAGGGAATATGAAGAAGCCAGGTGTGTTGGTAAATATCTGTATGCCCAGCACTGTGACTGGGAGACAGGAGGATCAAAACTTTGAGGCCTGCCTCGGAGAAATAGAAAGACGCTGGCTGAAGGGTCAATAGGGAGACAGTTCAGTGACTGAGCATCTGAATGGCATGTGCTGCACCGGAGGCCCAGTCCCCAGCACTTCAGCGACAATAATGGTGATGATGAATCGCAGGAGCCTGCAAATGCTACCTTCGAACACGTGAGGACTTCCACGCTTGCTCATCTGTACGCTGAAAAGAGATATTCCATCTCCTGATAAGCGGATCAGAAAACAAGTTCTGTTTTGTGAGGCCCTGTTAAAAATAATTGCAATTATTTAAATTACACAGAAAAATTTTTAAAGTATTGCTGGCAAAGCACTTCAGTTTTCCTCTGGGAGTTGGGGGAGGGGCAGGCACAAAAAAGCTCCTAAGCCAGAAAACAGCAG